ACACAAGGCTTGACAGGCCTTGTCAGACTGAAATGTGGACTCTACATCATTTAATACAGGGTCTGTGGTCTTCCCTGGGAAAGCAGGGCAAAATATAAATGAAAATGAATACAATGGAAAAAATATAAAATGAATAAAACCCAAGATGCTTCATGGACACAAGAGTTGGGGGAAAGGGGGTGGGCTGGGAATTCTTTGTTAAATGGGAAACAAAGTCTTAAAAATAAGGCTAACAGCAGACATGGATCTAAGCAGCTCAGAACAGGATTGGCAATAGATTGTTTTTGAAAAGCGGCTGGGGTGTTTGAAAGACAGCTGAGGCTGCTGCTTCTGTGCTGAAATACAAATGGCATATGGATCAGAGCATGTGCTAGCGGGGGCTTAGTGCTGCCTGTGCTGTCCCCAGACTGGTGTGACGGGCTGGGGGCGGTGAGCGGCAGCGGCGAGAGCTTCATTAGCTTCTATCCACCTCTGATGACCACAGGATTTGGAAAACGCAGGAGGTGAGAATGTTAAAGCCTATAAATTGGCTTCCTAATAGGTGACAGAAAGAGGCATCAGGTGGCTTTGATCCGAGGATGGATCCTGTGTGGCTTCTGGTCTTAGCGGCAGCAGGCATTGCAGCGTTTCTGGCTCCAGACTGCCTTCAGCTGCGCTTGCTCTAGCTGTGCCATCGTTCCAGAGCCTGTGCGGGCAAAGGAACGATCAGTTTTGCACATGCCTGTGTCAGTGCTAAGGAGACGACCTCACACGTTTGCCTTTAAACGCAGCGGTGGCTCTGGAACGATGAGACGGGCTAACGCGTCCGCTGGCAAGAGTGGCTGTGGAAGCTCCGGTGATCATAATTGGTATTTCCAAATTAAAGCGCTCAGCACTAACTCCCTCCCTGCGTAGCACCGGCAGGCTGATGAGATGTAGTTGGCCTTCAAGGCAGTGGCCAGGCTGTCCTCTGCTCTGCTGCATCTCACCCGGGTGCTGTCGGGCAATGCTGATGCTCCGGCGCCTCTCCAGCATCCTCCCAGTACCTGCAGCCCAATGTAAGGGGCACATCCTGCTCCAAGGGGGCAAGAGCAACCGTCCCACTCCAGCGTAGGCTCTCTCTGGTCACCGTGGACCTTCTGTGTCAGGACGATCTCAACCTGGCACTGTGGTGTTTCATCAAGTGACTGGCAAGTAAGGAGAGGAAGACATGCACGTAAGTGGAAGTTTTCCTGCATAATAGGAAATCGTCATTTAACAAAATTTCTATTAAAATTTGGAAGAACATCACTGAAATAGAGAACTACCCAAAGTTGACATGTTTGAATAACTGCTATACTCATTCTTAGTTATAAAATGCAAAAAAAAAAAAAACAAAACAAAACCCATCTTTACTGCTATTTTTGGACTGTGGTTCTACTGAAATCAGAGCTTTCTCTTCCCACCTCCATCTCTCTGACCTCTCAGGAAGCACTGTTGTATATTCATTCAGTAGCAAGTGACAGACCTCTTAGGCAGAGATACTCCAGTAATAGCACACGTGTCCAAAAAGGATTTTGGAAATTAATTTTTAATATGTGGCCTCTGCCCTGATTTCTCTGTGCTAGTCTAAACCCGCAGGTATAAATAGCTCCACTGACCTGAATGGATGTTTCTGTGAATAGCAACCAAAAAAAAAGCCATTACCTGCTACTGGAGGTAAATATATATCTAGGTATGATTTAATGTCTGCAGGTTTCTTTTAATTCCTTAGAATTTGCTCTAATAAATGTTGTTTAAAACAGACTTCTTCAAAAGGAATTTGGGGACTAGTGCATTTAGGTTGGTTTAGATTTCTGCTCCTCTGCATCTGAGCCTGCCTTGATGACCCTGTATCTTCTGGCTGCCATCATCTCCATGGCCAGCCAAAGGAGAAGTGACATTTCAGAGCAAGCCCAAACAACGACCGAAGTCTACAGAAACCTCTGGCTCCCTCCATTTAAAAAAGACCCTGAGAATTGCTGAAGGCAGCTGGGTGAGGTTGCTAAATCATTGCACTGGACATGCACACACAGAGCCTGTCCTTGGGCTGCTTGGAGCCAAACGCAGCTGATTTGCAGCAGGAAAAGGTAGAGGGACCCAGAATCTTCTTGCTCTAAATAAATACTGACAGCCAAGCAAAGCTTTTATAACGTGTGGACTGCACTGGGAGCTCAGTGCACCTTAACACAGCTCTTTTACAGAGGCTTCTCCCTGGCACGAGTCTATAGACTTGAGCCCCTTGGTCTTTCCTGTCCCACAAGGTCACAGGCTTTCCTGGCAATAATTAAGTCATCGCAATAGCCTGGTTTCCTAAAAGTGCAGATCTACAGGCTGGAAAATAATTAATGTGTAAACAGAATGTACACGTTAAAGACTAAAAAAAGACGCTGTAGATTGCTTTTAACACCAGTCTTGCACTTCAAGCTTTCATTGCTTTTTCTTCCTTAAGTATTATCTATCTATATGTGTCCGTAGCTACCCAACTGCTGTTAATGTCTGTATTCAACAGTAGTAGGGAAATGAAAACTGCAGTAAATTTTACAATATGTTTATGTTATAACGAGGTTTATAGAGGCGTCGTAATTCATTGTATATTCCACCAGAAGCATGGATCTCTTCCAATTTAATTTTCTGAAGTTGGAGTTTGCAGCTGGGTCACTCCTGGTGTAATCTGGGAGACGAGCCTCCTAAGGCTGTGGGTTGGGAGAGCGGCGTCCCGGCTGTCACCGCCACCCATCAGTTACCGCGCCGGGGGCTGAGGGCAGAGCATCCGAATCGCTTTCTGTGGGCGCAGCAGCATAGCTAGCTTCATAAATTCTGTTGCAAGGAGTAATAATCAATACTTCATGGTTAATGACGCAAAACTGAAATTAGTATAGATTATATGTCGTCTTCTCTTCCCAATTATGCAAACATTACTATGCCCCTTCTGTAGTTGCCTTATATTACAGCTTTTATAAAGACTGTCCGGTGATGTTTAATTGAAAGACTGAATAGTCAAAAATGTCACAACCAATTTTGGTTTTTAATTTTTCTTTTTTTTTTTTTTGGTTCAGTCTTCACCCTGAGGTTAATAGAAAATGATGTCAAACACAAGAAATGATTTATGTAAGTCATGCAAGCTTTGTCACCCAGAGCTATATATAAAGTCAATTGCAAATTGTTTTCACATTCTAAATTACTGTACATAGCTCTGGGGTACGCTGAAAAAATGACCAGCAGAATAAAATGAGAGAAGAAAAGGTTATCTTCTGAACTGTGCTTCAAAAAAAAAAAAAATTTGAAAGTGGCTTGGTTTTAATATGCCAGAAGAAGGTGTTCCTCAGAGCAGGCAAAAAAAAAAAAAAAAAAAAAAAAGGGGAAGTAAAAAAAATAAAAAGAAGTTTCACATCTGGATTATTTCCGATGGCTGGTGAGCAGTAGGCAGCAGCCAGGCCTCCCGAATCTCAGGCAGTGCTTTATCAGCTGCAGTGTGTCCACAAAATGGTGCTACAATGAGAGACCCAGAGGGGCACAAGCTGGGGAAACATCTAACTTGTCGTCTTGACAAATCTATTTTATGCATAAAATATATTTTGCAGTAATAGTCCTTTGAAGGCTGTGAGGGAATGAAAGCTGTATTAGGAGTAAATCAGCTACCGACTGTGATCTTGTTTCATGTTGAACAGAACAGAATCTTATACAGGATTAAAAAGCACCATGTAAAATTTTTCTGTTTCATAAAATCAGCTTTATTTGGGAAAGCAGAAGGTAGAGCCGGCTGATCTGTTGTGCTCCTGGAGATTGCAACAGTCTTATTGGAAACAAAAATCTTTGATTCATCCCGAGGTCAGATAAGATATATAAGATGAAAATATCCTTGTTCTGCCTTTTTAATGTTCTTAGCCTTCCTGGGAATCCTGTCTCTGTATGCAAGGTAGGTGTGAAGTAAATATACCCTCCTTTCTTACTCTGACTAGCTTTTGCTTTTACATCCGATTCCCAACTTAGTGAGCTGAAAGAAGTCAGGAGTTAACATCTTTGTGTTCTGCACAGACTTCTCATTTTCAGGTGTTGCTTAATTATCAAGCAGCTGATGTATAAACACAAACCTGAAGGACCATCCTTGTGTCTCAGGGTGGTGATGCTCTATGTATCACATCATAGGGATGCGCTCTGGAGGGTTCAGTGTTTGCTTGTTGGCCCAGCTTTTTAGGAGACTGGGCACGTGTGCTCTGCACGTACGTGTCCCAGCAATGCCGGTGTACTCTGCAGAATTGTGCCCTGCAAAGGGGATGGAAAGCTCAGCCCAGGAATTGCATCCCCTGGATCACACGGTCCATTGCAACCAGGTTCTCCCCCACCCATCAGCTCCCACCCCTTCTGAACAATAGCACCCTGCCAGTCAGATACAATTTAGGTTTTTTTAAGCCCAATCTCTGTGCTGAACATCCCGGGTGAATTTTTTCAGGGACATTAGCATGGATGCAGGGAGCCTCAGATATGCCTCTGCAGTTAAATTTGTGACATCTCTGCTATCGAAACAGCATCTGATGTAAATACTTTGGAAAAGGCATTGGGCTGTAAATCTCAGCCAGTGACTTTCTTAATTATGAGACTGAATAGTGTTTGATTGCAGAACAAAGAGAAGTGCCTAAAAGTGTGAGCTGATGCTCACCTGCCTCTTACGAAGACCATCTCTTGATGGTTGAATTTGATTCCTCTTGAATCAAAGCAGCCGCACACCTAAGACATGAAAGAATACTTCCCTCTTTTGCTCTGCTTATTATTTTTGTAGGTCTGATATTTTCTTTCAGACTTGTGCTGGACATATCGATGAATATGTTGGTTTCTTTGTAGTTATTTTGGATATCTAAGTTTTAAAGCAATCCCGTAGACATTACCCAAGGGACTGTTTTGTTCAGTGTTTGGATCACAACATTTTGAGGTTGAGCGGGGATCTTCAGTTTCAACCAAGGGCTTCCCATAAGCACATTGAAATGTTTTTTCTCTCCTTGTAGGAAGAACTCAAAAGGCTCCAGCACACCTTGGAACAGGTCAACGATGGCAAAGACTTGCTTCAAAGGTAAATGTGTGATTTCTGCAGTATCTCACGCATGATACAGTGAAATGACTTTTATAAGACAACAAGCCCTTTCAAAGGGACAGTATCTTTGTTGTAGACTATGTTTTTCACTTGGTAATATACTAAATATTCAAGATTTTGCATCTCTCCCACAAACAATTCTTATTTTTAGTTACAGGAGGATAATTTCTGAAAACTGCTGCTGATTGAATGATGTTATTAAGTGTCCAGTAAAGTCTCAAAATAACTCCACAGGTTGGGGTCTAATCTTACAAATTTTCATGCGAAGACCTTTCATTCGTGTTGCTAGTCCCATCTAAAGCAGTGTCCAAGATGTTTGATTTTTATCTTCTAGCATTTTAAAATTGCTTTCTCAAAGCAATTGGTTTGCAGCACCAATTCCTCGGTCATCATTTATTACAAAGAATTTTTTCTTCATGTTTCTGTATGGCTTTTGCTGATGTAATTCATTTGCTACTGGCATTACCATTGTTACTTTCCATTTTACTCCCCAGCTTTTCAAATGTAGCCCCAGGGATGAAAGTTAATTTAGCAAGAATATCTATTATATTTGCCAGTGATATTTGTCAGTGTGGTTTTGGTTTTTTTTTTTTTTTTTTATTTGCAGCAGCTTCTTTGCTGGGTGTGCCTGTCTCTGGAGCTGTGGCATCTGGAAGGTTTAGTGCAAGGACTCAGGCAGGCTCCGATCTGGAAACTGGATCCAAATTCATAGTTTCTGTTAACAGTCAGATGAGGCTGGACACAGGGACCCAGATGCCTTCCTTCAAAGACAACACCACCTTCTAATAAGCAGCTCTTGTATGTTGTTATCAAAATTTTGGAATTAATTCACTGTGATTGCAAAAACGTCATGCTGAGATGCATTAAACCCATTTTTGATTATTTTCCATAGCCATCAGCTTGCCATGGATGAAGAAAATAACATCGAAAAATATCATATCAATTTACAGCCCTTGGAGTCAAAAGTGAAAATGTAAGTAATGAAAAATGAAGTTTCTGCCTTTAAATGCAGATGAGTTTGTCTGATTCCTGAACAGCAGAACCCAGACTGTATCCACTGTGGATTTCTGTGTAACTTTAAATATACATAAGCCTCAACTTAGCAAGTTTAAGCTCTTCTCTGCCTTTAAGCACGTGAACGTTCTCTTTGAACTGAGTTTTGAATGTTAAACTTCAATGTTGCACTAATTTTGTCATTGCCTCTGTGAAACTAAAGAATATTTGAGAATCTGCTGGATATTTTATATACACAGAGAACATCCTAGAGGGGGAAGGTGTAGCACAGTGCAAGCAGAAGTCTCTTCAGTGTTTTGTTGTTTTTTTTTTTCACATCTAACATAAAGCCTGGTTAAAGCTCCCCAGGCAGCTCACGGGATTCCTCTGCAAGGAGCGCTCTTGGGTTTGCACAGGGATGGAGATGTAAGTCTGGGGGGTTCCTGGGTTGGGGGGTGCAGCACAGCTCCATGGCACTGGGAAAGCTGGTTGTACTGGGAAGGGAGGCAGTTGCTAGCACTCGGCCAAGGCACGTGCATGACACCTAGCTGCACCACCGGGAAGGGAGAGATCAGCATCGCTGTCTTCTGGTAACGAACTCCCCAGCTTCCAAATGCAATCATTTTAGATTTTGTAAAACATTTCCCACATGTTGCTTCATTCGCCGCGGGGTTCGGTTATTCCAAAGGGCTTGACTGCGCTGTCTCAGGACACGTGCTAATTCTGGGGATGTAACTTAAACCTTACCCACGTGTCTACCAGAGCCGAGGGCTCCGCTTTGTGCCTCTTCCAGCACTGCTCCTCCAGCCCTGGTGCTGGCATTAGCTCCATCCAGGAGATGCTAACGCAGTGTTCCTGGACTTCCCAGCAGACAGCGAAAGCTTAACGCAGCTCCACTTGCATCAGAAAAAAAACATGAACACCTGTGTGCTGAAGCCCCCAGCTACTTCATGGCAAAATGTTGTGATACCAGGCACAGCTTTACCCAGCTGTGGAAAGGCATACAGTGTACACACACAATACAATGTACACGTTACTCCATTACATACTGAATTTCACTTTCAGTTGAAAAGCTATGGCTAAGTCTCTGTGCAGGACGTTAAAATATTAATGCTATATTAAAATATTAAAAGGACATGAAGTTTCAAATTAAAATCCAGCCAGTGTATTTTAATCATGCAAATGTAAGCCAGATGAAAGAATAATTTTTCAGAGTGCTTTCTAGAAGGGTAGTTATGCCTAACCTTGGTATATTCTCAAGCTTTAAAATAGAAAGTACATGTAAATATAAATATGTAAATACTACTTGTCCATATTACACAGTAAAACTTGAAACTGAAACAAAGCAAACTGTAAATACTTGAGGTGTGAAAATGAGGGGATTTTTAAAGCAAAATGCATTTACCAAAAGCTCCTCCATCGGCACTCACATTTGGGAGCTTTGATAGAAATTTCTGTCCATTTCAAAGCTGTTTTATGAAAACGACACAGGCCTTAACCTGCCTGACTGGCTCTGAAGTGCACCCATCCTGGCAAGGCTGTAATTGATGCTGGCTTGTTTCTAATCTGGTATTCTTCTACAAAATAAAGAAATACATAGATCTGATTTCCTCAACCTTGAGATGTTCCAAATGCCACGTGTGTTGGGAGCATTGTTCCTTGACCAGGAAAAATGACACGCCAGGAGGCACTTCCCACTGCCTGGAGCTCCCAGCACCGTGGGCAGTTGTTGTGGTTTAGGCCTGGTTGGCAGCCAACCACAATGCAGCAGCTCTCTCTCCCTTCCCCTCCGGCAATGAGAAGGGACAGAGAGCCAGGCTTGGGGTTCAAGATAGGACTGGGATGGGGGAAAATCCCCCTTTTATGATCACGAGCAAAAGGCAGACTCGTTAGGGGAAGAAAAAAAAAAAAACAACATACATTTATTACAGACACTAACAACACATAACAGAGTAGGACAGTGAGAAGCATTGCCACATCTTGAGAACACCTTCCCCCCACCCCTCCCTTCTTCCTGGGCTCAGCTCTGCTCCCGATATCTCTACCTCCTCCCCCAGTGGCGCAGGGGCAGGGAATGGGGGGTGCAGTCAGTGCTGCCACTTGCTTCATCTTCGGTGAGGGGAGTGTCTGGAACTTGTTCCTCCTGCTCCATCGTGGTCCCCCTCTCACAGGAGACAGTCCTCCACAAACTTTCTCCGACATGAATTCCTCCCATGGGCCGCAGCGTTCCCCACACTGCTCCGTCATGGGTCACTAACTTCCTCCAACTGGATTCTCTCCCATGGCTGCAGCCCTTCCCAAGCTGCTCCGGCGTGGGACTCCCCTGCATGCTGCAATCCTCCCAGCACTGAATTACAGCAGCGGAGCTGCCTTTTCCCATGAGACCCCGGCCTTCTTCGGGCACAGAACCTTGATCAGGCAAGCAGGAGCCACAGGCCGTAAATCAATGTCTGCTCCACCGTAGATCTCCATGGGTGGCAGGGGGGGTCGCCCTGCCGTCTCACCACAGGATACAGGGGGGTCTCTGCTCCGGCACACCTCCCCCCTCCTTTCTTCCTCCGTTCCTCCACTGACCTTGGTGTTCATGCAGCTGCAGCAACTCCTCCTCACCAGTCCCCCTGCCCGTCACCACGTCCCTTCTTAAATACGTTATCGCAGAGGCGCAGCCGATTGGCTCAATTTCCCAAACAGAAGTGGAGCTGACGTGGAGCTGGGGGAGCTTCGAGAAGCTTCTCACAGGGGGCCGCCCCGATAGCCCCCTCCCCTGCCACCAAAAAACTCCACCACTCACTCAACCCAGGACAGCAGTCAATGAGAAGTTGTCGGTGTCCTGGTGTTGAGCTTCATCCTCTTCCTGCGAAGCCAAGAAGTTGGACGTGCCAGTGTGTAATCAGATGTTTTTTCCAGCGGTGTCTGGGTGTTAAATGTTTTTTCTGGCTTATGGAGATGGGAGCAGAAATGACATCTTAAAAATGACATGTGAAAAAGGCAACGTAAAGAAAAAAATAATTATTCCTAGGGCAATATAAATCCATGCTGAAGGCTTTGGGCCCTTTGGTTTGAAGTATAACGCACACGGTAAGGTTCCTTCAGGAAGGAGCATTGCCCTCTGCACGGCCCTGGGGTGCGGGTGCTGGGTGTGGGAGCCCTCCTGGGGAGCACCCCAGCAGCAAGACTGGGTGCTGAGCCTGCCCAGCCCTGCGGGAGCGGGCAGGGTGGAGGGGTGCCGGCTCCCACCCGTGCCCCGCAGAGCAGCACAAGAGCTTGGCACCATTGAGAACAACTTAAGCGAAGGTGGTGGTACTCTACCCGATTAACAGACACACTGAAGTTTTTACTGGCTTGATAAAATAAAATCCCAATTGCTTAAAAATCCCAAACAGAGCTCGTTCTAGCTCATTGCACCGCAGCAAAGTCTCAGGTCAGAATTTAGCTCCTTTTTTCTACAGAGTTCACAGATCATCCTGTGTGCAAGCCCCCACATACTTTGTGTTAATGCCATTACTATTGTAAACACAGTTTTACCTCCCAGCATCTCTCCTGCTCCCCAGCCAAAGGCTGGCACAGAAAATGGAATTTCTTTGCAGAATTTCACACCAAGTTTTAGAAATTTGGTCAAAGTTTGTAGATTGGAGGCATTGCTCCTACTGCAACCCTCACATGTTGCTTTGGAGAAAGTTTTAAGTCCTCCGTAACGGAAGACTGGGGAGATTTTTAAGGATACTGGTCTGGATCTGAACTTCCAACCATATCTGTGTTATAATCTGAAAGCTGATATAAGATGCTGGAGGCTGTTTGTTCTTTTAAACAGATAATTGCATATTTTTCTTTTGTTTGAAAGACGTAGGAGAATTGCTGAGTTGTGTACAGTCTCAACTTTAAATCACTTCTGTAGGTTTAGGGATTTGAAATAAAGAATTGCTTCTACTTAACAGATGCCTCAAGTTATACTAATAGTGGGTAGTATAAGACCTACAGAAGGTGGTTATGAGTGATCGTTATCCAAATCGGAAAACAAAGTGCACAAAAAAAAAAAAAAAAAAAAAGGAGAAAAATAGCAAAACCCCACTATTCCAGTCAATAATATATATTTTAAATCCTTTCTGTTGTTGCATCCCCCACCCCCTCGAACCCTGTGCCTTGGTGTTTGCCTCAGTATCCAGCGAGCATGGCGTGAGTACCTGCAGCGCCAGGACCTGCCGCACCACGAGCAGCTGGACAAGCGCAGTCCCTCCCCGCCGTCCCTCTCCTCGGACAAGATGAGCAGATCCATCAGCATGAACACCTTTTCCGACAGCAGCACCCCGGTGAGTACAGCAATTGGGCTTCTTTTCCTATTTCTTGCTTTTTGTTGGGTTCCTTTTTAGGACGTTGCATAATTGGAAGCAAATTTATGGGCTGATCGTGAAAGAGGGACTTTTAAGGGAGTAGTAGTGTCTCAAGTGAACGTGCAAGCAGGTGTATCTCTTGTAGGTATGGTTGAATGTGTGTCTGCGTGTGTTAGATGTGGATCTTAGCAATATTGTGTGTTGGATGCAGCAGATATTACCGGTGCTCTTGATGGCAGAAGGTGTTTCCAAATGGCAGTGTGTTCTGCAGAAAGCAAGGATCTTCGTGTGTGTTTAGCACTTTGTGTTCTCCAAAAGAAACAAACTGTGGTGCTTCTCCTACAAATAAGTGGTTTGTAGAGTTGTGGTTTGGTTTTTTTTTTGTTTTTGTTTTTTTTGTTGTTGTTGGTTTTTTTTTTTGTTTGTTTTTTGTTTTTTTTTTGTTTTTTTTTTCCTAAAAGAGACTTAGAGAAGTTTATCTAGGGGTTAAAAATTAAATCTGATTTTGGAATAAATATTCAAGCCACCTTGCGGACTGGGTGACTAGTGGCTGGAGGCTGTACTTCTCTTTTGTTTCGGTGAGACTAAACTAGAAACCCAAATGTAGAGCCCATGTTTTGAATACAAGTGGCCTTGTGACTGTCTCTGGAGTGGGATCTTTTAGGTCAATAAATCAGCAGATAGATATAGAGCCTATAAATATTGCTTTCAGCTTTGTGACAGAATACATCAGATCTGAGGGAACTGTAGATTAGAGCGTGTGAAATAATTCAATAGTTTAAAAAAAATGCCAGAGATAGAAATTGCCCCGGTGTGTGTTAGACCAGCTAAATAAAAGCAGCTGGTGTCCCACTGTTCGACTGAGATGTGCAGGATAGGGAAGAACAGGAGTTTGGCCCCTTGCTAGGAGTGTGTACCGGTCAGCTGTGGGACGCTCTGTTGCCAGTCCCAGGACAGCATTGGGTGACTTCTGGGTTCACTATAAAAATCTAGAAATCATTGCTAGTAGGTTTCTTCAAGTGGACGGAGCCCCTGTGCAAGGGCGAGATGTTTATAAGTTGAACTCTGCCTTCAGCTGCAAAGTTGGAGCAATGCCACCTCATGGAAAGCACGAGACAGGCTCAGCGATCCAACAGAGCTTTTCTGTTCTGGGAACTCTGGTCTTGGACTTACGGGGACGGTTTGACTCTTTCCTTCACTGGACTGCATTACGCAGGTTCCAACTGAAGCTAGGTGAGCTGTTTCTAGCAGCTGCTAGTTTTGTGATGCCGTGGTTAGGCAGGCTGCATTGGATTTGACAGCATTTAATAAAATATTACTGAGAGTGCACTGTTTTAGTTTTAGTGGCCTTGTGTTCGTAGCTGGAGACGAGGATGATAAACTAAGTTGCAATATTGGATTATACACTAATGTCTCATGTATTAAACGAGTTAGGTTTAATGAGAGAGAGAAAATTTGATATAAATTTTTATCTGCCGCTGGTGTTTTTTGGAGCCTGGCTGCCAATCGGCCACCACAAGAGGTCCTTCGTACTCTGTGCAAGGAGGCTCCTGGGTGCTCTCAGATATTATCCAGCAGCTAACTAATTTGGAAAATGATGCATTTTCAAAGCTTTCGGGTCTTTCAGGGCAAAATGAGTACATCTGGGAGTTATATATTTGTGGGACAATGAAGCTTGGATACTGGAATCGCTACTGAATTTGTATTAATGCAACACGCACTCATCTCACTTCTGCATCATACTTGTTCAATGCAAAGGAAGATGGGAATATTTTCTTATGATTTTCTAGTGTCAACCTGTCAGCAGCCTTTGGAAAACTAGGTAACATTTCTGAAGGCAAAGGGACCTGTATCTATTTAGTGTCAGCTTGGTTATTGCAATACTTGAGGCTGTGAGGGACCCACACTTTTATGTGCCGGACGGCCATCAGTTCCTGGAGGAGGTATTGTGTTTCCAGGCAAACGCCGCTGTACTTTTCAAGGTCCTTGCAATCTTTAAAACCAGACCTACTGATTTAAGATGTTTTTCTCTGTCTGCATCAGAGTTCTGTGGGGTGTCATGAAAAGAGGGAGCAGATGGAGGAGGTGAGGAGAAGCCTTTAGTGTGGGAGCCCAGCAGGTGCCCTAAGAGGGGAGGTGGTTGAAGGTGTGAGATGTGGTGGGGAAGGCACTATATAGCTTAGAACAGCTACTGCCACAAAGCAGAAAGGCAGCAACACTGTTTGGGGTAGTTTTGTTTCCTGCTTGCTTCTGGTGAAGTAAAACAGCGCTGGCCCTGTGTGGATCGTGGTCTCAGCTTCTGCGGCGCGTGGCTGGGCGCACAAGTGTGTGTGCAGAAATGCCACCGGTGCGTGTTCCCCTTGGAGTTGGTCTGGGTCATCCTTCCTAGTCCTTGGACACGTCTGCTAAGGATAGGCTCTGAGCTAATGCAGCAGTGAGTATGTTTGTCTGACACACATGTGCTTTCCTGATGGCAAATGTCGCGTATTTTTTAGTTTGGAATTGATACTGTCAGGTTCGGAGCAGGGATGAGGCCAAAGCAAAACAGGGACAATTAACCTTGAACTGTTGACATATGAATGGGAGAGCAATTGATTGTCTCGACCAAAGAAAGACTTGGACAGAATTAAATGCACCATTTGGCCTGAGCCACATTTTCTGTTCAAGTATAAGGTAAACTGAAGGAAGGAGGAAAAAAACATTTGAGCAGAGAAACCACTGCTGGATCCATCTGTAATTTTATAGCCTCTTGAAGTTTTGTGTTTACAGGACCCAAGCTGGAAGCAGGGGAGGGGAGCTGGGGAATAATCAAGTAGTCGAACATATCTACTTGCCAAGACCTCGGTTTGGCCCACATTCCAGAACTAACCTTTGAAAAATGGGGCAAATTAATTATTATGCCATTTCTTTTGCATTTGAAGTGGCACTGGTACTCTAATATGCCTGTTGCTAGTCTTTGCATAAAAGTATGCTGTGCTGAGCAATATGGAGTCTCCCAAATTTCTCTTGATGTCTGGCAACCTTCCTCTGAAAAATTTGGAGGAGGGAGAAATTCAGTCTGAAATTTGGTCTCTTTGGAGGTTTTCCCATTTCTTTTTTCAAAGAGGTAGAAAGCAACCAGCATGTCAAAATATGTTAGCAATAAGCTCTGATGCAGATGGGAGAGAGAAATTTATGAAGTATTTTGAGAAACCACTGTCACAACACAGCCACTCAATTCAGCTGAAATCTAATCCTGGTTTTCAGTTTCTTTTCTCGGCACAAGTCTCTCAGTGTTCAGCTTTGCTGGATCCTCATCTGGATCTTACACACTCCTGGGGGCAAAAAAAGCAGTTGGCTACTTGAATAATGAAAAAAAGAAAGGATCTTATGCCCAAAGGATAAATGAGAGCCTGTGGACTACGAAATGCATGCCACTGCTGCAGGATGGGTATTGAAACCATCTACAGTGATTATCTATTTATTCCAGTAAGTGGGACCAGCAGTCGTGGTGAGGTAGAATTTTGAAAGTCTGTGTTGGATGAATAATACCTAAACGCAAGGTTTATTCAGACTGTTGGGGACAACCAAGCCCTGTCAGCATGTGCAGGTCTGTAGCTGGAGAGTTAAGAACAATGTTTGGTCATTTGTGGTTGAAAGATAAGGTCTTGGAGCTCATTTCCACTATTACTACAAGCCTCCTGCAGCATTTGTAAGGGAAGATGGGGAATTACTAAGACTGAGAGAAGTCAGATTTCAGAAGCATTTTTCCTCTCTTGCCGTTTAAACTTTTTCCTTCCTGAAAAATAAGACAAAACATGCAAACAGGAATTAGACCAAGTAATTAAACCCATAGGAAACTGAAATGCAGTGAAGAAGCCTGTACACTCAAATAAATCATGCCCAGAATCAAAGGTGTGGGACTTGTTGTCAGCACGTGCACGCTCGTGTGCAGGGTGGGAGGGCAGGTCACCAGCACAGGCAGTAACCCTGGGAGGACTTAGCAGTGATGACCTGAGCCTTGACAGCAGCGATGCATTCCTGGCATGCCGACACTTATTCATTTGTAATCATTAAAACTTTGTGAATTCATCAAATATGACATTTCCTTGTCCCAGCCAAGAAAATAACTGCAGAAACACAAAGCAACATTTTCAGAGTAACTTTAGGAAAGTGAGAAGGGGAGGTACCAGGAATAGTTCTTACTCTGCCTGGCAGCAATGAAGATACTTTCTGGTCAGCTGTACCACAGATTTCATGTTTAGTAGTTTTCATATGACTTTTTAAAAGTCACTTGGTTCCCATGAGATGGGGATAGCTAGGTAAAGGGGCTGTGCCTCTGGCCAGTGTGAGATGCCAGCCATGTAATCAGTCCATCACCTGTTCATTGGTATACAGTGATGTGAGCTCTCCTTGACTTGCTAAAGATCATATATGTATTTTATGTACATGGCTTCAAAAAGCTGTAGTTTAGCCCTGCTGGCTCTAGTTACCATATTTCAGTTGAGGCAGTCAACCTAATGGAGTGATTCTAAGGCTCAGAGGCTTGATAAATCATTAATTATAATACATTTGAATCAAGTGTTTGAACTTGGTTTGGATTAGCCAGCTGCCTTCATGAGTGCAGAAGACTGTAGCTCTCAAAATGAAATACTGATGGAAAACTTGCCAAACAGAAAATAAACTACTAGATAAGAAGAAAAAAGACCCACAATCGAAATAATTCCTTATTTTTGCTGCTACCTCCAGGTCTTGATAATTTCTGGCAACTCTTCTGTGTGAAATTTCATCTTAATTTTATGGCAGAGGAACTGTGTCTTACGGAATGTGGGACGCTGAATCTTTGCAGATATTAAAGGGAAAAAGACTCTTCCTTCAGGCTTTGTTTATGTGCCTCTTGCCCTCGAAGCCTGAGCATCTCATGGCAATCACGTTTCATTACAGCTGTACATGTCCTTTGCATTAGCTGGATCAAAGGTACCAGGTGGTAAACAAAACCA